CCTGTATCAGATCCTGTCTGTTGTTGTCTGCTTTGTTTTTCTGTTCCTCCGCTTTTCTGCATTTCCGCTGTTCTTTCTACCTTCGGCCTGTGTGTGCTTGTCGTTTTCTGTTTGTCCTTGCTATTGTGCTTCTGCTTTTCAGCGTTTCTGCCTCGTTGCTTTTGCGCTTCTTGGATCGCCAAATGAGGGGGGCCTGTTCAAGATATTTGATGATACAGACATGTGATCAACTTGGAACAAGTGATCAACCGGGATCGCCTGGCGAGGCGTGCTTAAAACAGGCGATGCTTAAGATTTATACCACACTCATCCGTCTGCCGTCTGTTGTAGCCGTGATCAACTGTGGTATTCCGATTCACCCGGACAGTCTATGTCAATGTACAGGAAGGGGAGCAAGTTGAGGAAGAGAAGCAGCCAGACCATGTGCGCTGCCATACAATCTTAGTGGATGCAGCTGCATTCTTACCATGTTGCATTGCAGCGCGGTCACTCTGTGTTGAGAAGGAGGAAGAGGAGCTGAAGGTTCAAACCGAGGAAGAGGCAGCAGTTGGCACGAGCTGTGATGCAAGATCTGCTTGTTTCCAGCTAATTATTCTCGCAGCATTTCTCTTGGTGCGTCGCGCAAGAAGACCCGGAGGAGTAGCTTGTGATACGAATCCTGATCCAACTATTTGTTTTCGATTCAGAACGCTGTCAGGAATCCAAGTGGGAAGGACGGAAAGGCTTGCGAAACAACCAAAACAAGTGTTTTATGAAGGAGGGGAACGATCTGGAGGGATTGGTGCAATGGGTTGCGCGAGAAGAAAAGCACACTGCCCTGACAGAGGCTTACTTTCGGAGGATGTTGTACTTGATTTCAGTCCACGGTCATGAGTATACATGTTGTACAGTTGTTTATTCCGCTGCCGCTAGGCCCTAGAGTCATACCAGATAGCGTCGCAGTATTCTGGCGAAAAGTCCGACCAGTCTCAAATCGAGCCCTTTAACCCTCGACCCATAGGTTGCAGTTCCATAGCCTAACCTCCTTCGCAATGTCCGTGGCGGGTCTGAGATATACCCGACCAACCCACTCGAGTACTCCCCTGGAGATTCGGTCCGGTAGTTATATATACGCCAGAGAACCCAGTACCTTCCACGACTGGGAATTTAGGATCACGAGTGCTCAAGCATTTCGCGCGCCCTTTTCTTCTCTAGCTTCCTCACAGGTCCTCAATACCATGTCCTCGCAGCTTGCCGCAGTAGCTGCTGGACTAGAGGCCCGACGCGTCCAAGGTTCAAAGCAGGTGTCCAAGAATGAAGACACAGCTCGTCAGCTGGAGCAGATGCAGCAGCGCATTGCCCAACACGACACCCTTCTCACAGGGGATGGGCCTTCAGTGTTGTCTGCGGCGGCACCAGTCGCCCGCCCACGTCCTGTGATGTGTATGTGCCCATGGACGCTAGCTCCTCACAGCCGGTGTCCCGTGCAGAGTGTGCAGCCATGATCACGGAAGCGTTGCAGCATAAAGTTCGTTGTGGGGTCCCAGTCCAGGTGTCCAAGAGCATTGTCTTGGAGGGTTCGTGATACTGTGAGCTCCCGGTCCTCTACATGGTGGCCCAGTCCGGACAGTTACGGACCACCAGGGTTCTTTTCGCCGCCTCGATCTGTGAGCACATGAGGTCCTTCTCAATCCATGCCGTGCGGATCTTAAGCATCTTGACCTCGTGCTCCAACATGTTGATCTTAGCGGCATGCTGTGTGAGCTCTGAGCCGACATGCGAAAAGGCTGGTTGAAGGGCTGGGCCCCCAGAATGGAGGGAAACAGTGGGGTGTTCTTGGTGCCGATCTCGATCCTCACAGTGCCAACCTACACCGCCCGCAAGAAGATCATGGATGCATGTTCCCGAGCGGTGGTGCGCTACCGGCACAAGACCGAGAAGGAGAAGATGCCGGCCGAGGACGAGACTCCCGCCGATGAGAGCGACAAAGGACACTGGTCAGGCCGCCGCTGCTTCTTCCTCACGGGAGGTCGTGTGGGAAGTGAAAACCTGGAACTGGAACCAACCAGTGAAGATGGCGCCAGGAATCACGCAGTTCGAAAGAAAGCTCGGCGCACCCATGCATGGCCTAATGAACGCCTACCAGAAGCTCTTCCCCCGCTTCAGCCTCACAGGGACCACCGGCACAGTCGCGGGCTGGAGCTGCGAAGTCCAACCCGGGTGAGCACAAAGACCGCATCCTTCGGGACGTGTGGTACGACCAGCTCAAGCAGCAGATCGAGCACACGGAGGTTGAGAGGCAGGCCTTTGCCGCAGCTTCACAGCAGACCAGTCAGGAATACGTGGCAGCCGTTCGCCTGAACCGCTTCCTCACAAAGGCCGTCCGATCCTACAACGAGGGCGGAGAGGAAGGCATCGACAACTGGATCGCTTTAAGTTCGAGTACCCATGGGAGCTCTCCTTCACAGGCCTCTCACAACAGGACCACCCCGACCGCCACTACTTCCAGGACATCCGCCCCGTCGAGGAGCTCATGGACGAGATGGCAGCGGACAGGGCGCCGGGGGCGCAGGTGAAGCATCGGGAGAACCTGCTCGGCTTCGCTGCCCACGGCACCAAGCGGCAGTACTCCGCAGGCACGGATTTTCCTCAATGGAGGAAACAGCCAAGGAGCCGTACCACCCGTTCGATTCACAGGACGAATGGGACAGAGCCGTGGAGGATGCCAAGGCCAGCCACATCGCCCGCGGCTACGACATCGCGGCCTGCAGCGATGAAGAGTGGAAGGAGTGGGCTCGCAACCGTCGTCTTCGCAACATGGGCTCACAGGCGGCCAAGGCAATGCTGGCAAAAAGGCCAACGCTTTTTACCTGAAAGCCGGGCAGGCGCTCACAGGCTCGCCGTTCTTCTTCCAAGTTGCATTTTCTCAGTGACGATCTCACAGAGAACCTCACTGCGCCAGCCCAGGAGGAAGAAAGGGAGCGAATTTGTCACACTTTTTCACCCGGCGATAGGATCCACGGCAATGGTTCCCGCGGAACCGATTGGGAACACAATTGGTGGACGAAAGTCCCGCATTTCTGCCTAACGGACTGCCGCAGCCTAGCCGATCAGCTCAATACCGAAGCTCCGGCTCGGGTGCAAGACAAGAGGTTGCAGATCGAGCTTAGTGCACTACGTCAGTCTATCCTTACAGAAGACGGCGTGAGGACTACTGAGGCCCACCCGGAAGAGGGAGACCATGTCGACTGGTTTGACACCGCAGCCCATGTAGCCGATTGTTTTTCACCAAATCTATGAAACCTGATTTCCTAATCAAGGTGTTAGACAGCGGTATATATAGCATCAGTCGTGCGAAAAAGCCGCAGTCTTAGTTCGCAGACGCTACTTGCAGGACATACCTCGTATGTACCATATGTAGCTGAGTCGTGCATCATTAGACTGCAGATGCCACTCGCAATGAGGATGATAGAAATATCGTACCTCCAGTGGTTAATTCGGTGGCTCCTGACGTGAGAACAGGTTTAGTGTGAATGATATTTGGTTTCAGTCCACGGTCATGAGCATACATGTTGTACGTTGTTTATTCCGCTGCCGTTAGGGCCCTTGAGTCAGACCAGTCTCAAAGCTGTCCAGATCAGATAGGCTTGGTGGAGGAAGAGGAAAGGAGAAGTCAGGGGATGGATGGATGGATTGATAATCGGTGGATGCTTGATTGCAAGAAGGCGGGTGGGAGGAAGGGGAGGGCAAGGGGGCAAGTGTTGTTCTCTTGGACCAGGCTGGGTTCGGAGGCAACCCAACAAGAATGGCATGTTCCCTTGGACTCAGTTGGAGGAGGACCAGGAAGGGGGGAAAGAGAGTTAAGGGGGGAAGGCGCGGGGAGGACGTAGAAGAGGCAGAGGGGGGTGAAACTCCAGTGGGTATGGAAGCAGAATCTTACGAGAAGCTGTTGGTCGAGTCCGAGCTGCCGTGCGGTCATGCATGAAGCAGGAAAGTGTTAGGATGTTTGAGATGTTGCACGTGCCCTAGGTGATCAACTTTGCGCCGGATTGGTGGTCTTGGCTGCAGGCACGGCAAGCCTGGACAGTTCGGGAGCTGAAAGTCAGGATTTTCACAAGAAGACTTCGTTGCTGCTTGCATGCGTTGAACAGGCTCCAAGCAAACTCATCCTGAAACCTTATGCGCTTGCCGGTTCCCCACCCCGGTGCGCAGCATGTCTCTTTGTCAGGTTCAGATGTTGTACATAGATAACCAAGCCTGAGGCAAAGCTGATCTGCGCCATGAATCTCTACAACATGGTAGCGAAAAATGCTGCGGACATTATACTGACTAAGCTTTGTTTTTTCTTCACATCGTGTGCCATTGACAATGGCTAACAGCTGAGATGTCGGGCCGCGGATCCGATTGCCCTGTGCGTTGTAATGTTTGAATTCGTTTGTGGCCCCAGACAAAAATGTCGGGGCCTGTGCAAATGGATGTCAGCAAGTTCGGTATGTTCCGGCTTTTATTCACTGAAGATATGCAAAGGTTTGTTGTCATGAAGGTTGAACACTCTCGCTGTCTTTCTGATGAACAGCTCTGTTAAGCTGACGCTCGCGTTGTGATTTGCTGCTGGGCGACATCAATGCGTACAGCTGCAGCAGCTTCGGAATCAGCCCAATGTACTGTCAAAAGGCGCATGAGCATAGTGGGATTTGCTTTGCAACTTAAGACAGTAGCTGTCTAGCCTAACAAGCTGTAGGCGAAGCCATGTAATTTAATGTAAATCATAGATTGTCATAGATGATGACTCATATATGGAAGACTGCCACCGCCGCCGTTCATGTTGAAGCGCCATCCCCGAGCTCCCGCACTCTCTGCGTGCAAGAACGTGTGTGCGCGCGCGTGTGTGTGTGTGTGTGCGTGTGCTGTGCGCGGACACAACGTCATCGCAGATGAGTGCAGTCCGAGCGTATCCTGGTTCAAGCGGGTATGTATTCTGGACTGTGCTGCTGGTTGGGGATGTGACCACCTTAGCCGCCATGGACGAAGCCTGGCACTCGGCAGTGGCTTTGCATGCTTTCAAGGCAGATTCTATGCAGCGATCCGAGGATCCGGATTGGGAGATGATGGGCTTCTGTCCGCAGGGCAAGGTGCTGACCGTTGCCGTCGTTCTTCTTGTTGTTGTTGGTGGTGGTCCTCGTGGTCTCAACAGGGTAGCCCGCGCTGTCCTAGCAGTGGCAGGACCCTGGATTCGGAGAGTTCGTGGGGAAGGCCGGGTTCGTACATGTTTGTGATCAGCACTCACCTATCTTGTTGGTGTTTCAGTCGAAGCACGGCAAGGTCAGCAAAGTGTTACCGGTTGGCTGTGCCTTCATCGAGTGCCAAGAGATCAAGGACCCGGCTCTCTGCATCCTTCAAGGGCGTCGAGATGGGCGCAGAAGATCTTCGACCCAGCTTCCTGTACGAAACGCAGCTGGTAATCTGCTTAGCAGGATTTGTATGATCAAGATGCCTACGTGCACAGCTCGGCCAGCAGCCAAATCGCTGCGTGCAGCTATACTGTAGCGAAAGCAGAGTGACACGAAATAGGTTGTGAGAGTACGGGGTCGGAGATGTCAGCGTCAAGTTGCACCCATGGGTATTCATCACCCAGGTCATGCATCAATGTGGTCTACAGTTGGGCGATGAGCCCGGAGCTCAGCATTTCGCCGGCTCCCAGTATCAGCGATCGTTTCACCATTGCCGAGGATTTGCTTCAACGTCCACGTGAATGCAACTGGACGGCCGCAGGCTAGCACACACATTGCAATCGCCAGGATCCTGTACCACGAGCATCACATTATAAGCTGCAGACTCTTCGCAGGTGTCAGCCCCCTGTCATGGCCTTATCTTCTACGACTGTTTCTCTTTCTCTGACGTGTGTTTTTGTGGCAGAGGCTGGAAGCGAAAACGTGGCTGGAAACGGCCATGGACGGAGATGCAGGCAGAGGCCCAGGCCAGACAGCCGCAATACGTGCGCAAACGCTCGAATGCCTCGAGCTACGAAGCGAGGACGTTTCCGCTGCACCTCAAGGCTCAACCGCTTGAGAGCAGGCCTCGTTTGACGCTCGCACTGGCCCGCAGGCAAGTTCGGAGGAAAAAGCGTTGCCAAAGGAAGCAACGGTTTGAGGCCCAGCTTGCAGCCAGAGGCACATCTTTTGCAAAGCCATGAACAATTTCGCCGGCCAATACAGTTCCATGCTCTTGGCAGCGCAGCCCTCTCTTCGCCATTTCGAAGTGAGTAGCCCCTTCAACTGCTGCAAAGGCTCTTGGAAACCACCTGCAGAGGAGGTGCCGAAGGTGCCTTTTTCGGGTTCACGAGCATGCTTTTTGTTCCGTCTTGCTGCGAACATGTTCGCCAAGCGTTGGATATATGACCGTTGCTCATCGGCGCACGCGAATGTTTGTTCCTGAGCTTTCGAACTTTGAAGTCCTCGCAGTTGCCCCGAAGTAGAGCTCGTCGAAGTAACAAATAAGAGAGTGAATCGAAGTTGATGCGCAAGCCATGGATGCCGTGCACGGAGATGAGCCGAGACAGATGATCAGGTGCCGGTTCGGAGCCGTGCCTCGGAGCCGGTCTACAAGCGTATGAGCGTCTATGGAGGCATCCACATCCCCAAGTGTGGCGGCTGAGGAGTCAGCCGAGCTGGCCAGAGCCGAGGAGGTTCTAGCCACTGCGGGCCTGAGCGCTTCGGAGATGTCGGAGTGCGTTCGCGTTCTCTGGCAGATCCAGCAGGCTCAGGAGCTGGGAACGCTGGATCCGAATGCCAGCTGCCTAAGGTCTTTGCGTAAAGTCCTGTCGCAGCTGTCCAAGCAGACCTTCGCGCATCTCCCGCAGAAGAGTCAACTCGATGAGAATGAGCGGAAGCGGGCTGAAAAGGACCGCAAAAGGGAGCGTCGACAGAGGCAATTGGAGGCAGGAGCGTTGAATACTCACACCAGGGGTCCGGAGACAGATCAAGAACAACACACAGCACATCAACCGCCAAGTCCAGCAATGTAAAGGCAAAGCAGATGACGGCAACACATCCACCAGCAGAAAGAACGAATCAAAGAAAGAGCGAAACACACAAAGACAGAAGGCACGGCAGAAAGAAATAACTAAGCCAAACGAGAAATGAAGACGCTAAGCCTAAGACGCTAAGAGGGAAATTAAGGAAGCACGCTGCAACCTGGCAGCCAACCAAACAAAAGAAGAGAGAGATAGAGAAGAACTCAAGCAATCAGTCAGAGCGTCTGAACAAAGATAGCCACAGAGAGCGAAATGCAGACCGACATACAGCAGGAGGAAAGCAGGGAAGCAAGATGGTACAGGAGGAAGAATGGGTACATCTTTGGCCTACGACAGCAAGCAACATGCAGGTGCGTTTACTTTAAGGTTATGTGAGGGTGAGAGGCCTGAAAAAATGTGCCCTCAAAGGGGTGACCTGGACGGCAACGTTAAAGGGACAACGTCAAGTCAAGCAGATGTAATTTCGAGGAGCTCCCGCCTTGGGCCGAAGAGAAGGACAGTCTGTATTTAGATAGCTGCAGTACTAGTAGCAGCGAATCACCTGCCTGAAACTTCCCTTGGCTGCGGCCGGGCCCCTGCACTGTCATCCCCGACTGCTATAGGTTACTAGGGCTACTTGAAGACGATGCACCTTGAGCGAACACGTCTTGCAGGCTGCTAACAAGCACTCACCATTATGCATACGATTAGTCGTCATACTATGATTGCTACTGCTGCTACTTCCCTTGCCATTTTGCATGGCCAAACGGAGATAATAAGACTGAAGAGCCCCAATGTATTTTCAGCGCCAGCAGTAAGTCGGTCAGGCAGACAAGCGCTTCCAAGAAAACACCCAGCTGCGAGCCTCGCGGTTGGCAAAGCTTAAGGCCCTGGAGGAATCGGAGGAACCTGAGAAGCTGCGAAGTTTGTGTGGTGGTACACATGAACATCATGAACCACTTCGCATCCCTGATGGCCCGGCCAGTACGGAGGCTGAAGGCTGCACCACATCGCCGACAGATGACGGAGAGGAGTACTGTCGGCAGCAAGCTTGCTACATTTGCAAGGTTCGCTTCTCCGAGAGACATCATTTCTATTCTCATTTGTGCCCAGTGTGTGCTGCCCTGAACTTTGAGAAACGACACCAAGCCCGAGACCTCTTCGGTCGCACTTGCCTGGTCACTGGTGCACGCGTGAAGATCGGCTTCCAGGTCGCTACGAAGCTGCTGCGCATGGGCGCTCGGGTGCTTGCTACCAGCCGCTTCCCACAGGACGAGGTTTGAAACAGTCTCTACAATCAGACATCCTTTGGTTTTCGACAGTGCACGTGTGACGCTTCGGGTTCACGGTTGCGGATTGTGCAGGATGCACGGAAGCGTTACATGGCCGAGCCCGATGCGGAGCAGTGGCTGGACCGTTTAGAGATCATCGGGGCCGACTTCCGATTTCTCGGAGGGGTGGAGGCGATGTGTGCGCAACTCAAGAGAAGAGAGCCATTCTTGGACATCATTGTCAACAATGCCTGCCAGACTGTACGTAGGCCTGCGGCATACTATGCCCATCTTCTGCGTGATGAAGCACATCCATCGCATCCTTACCCTTCTCTCGCCAGACGGCCACAGTTTGAACTGGAGCCGCAAGGGTCGGGCCAGGAGCAGGCGGAGCTGACAACTTCCTGTGGCTTCGGTAACGTGGGCAGCAGTGCAGCGCTGTCGCAACTTCTCGTCCTGGAGGAGGACCAGGAGGAAGATGCCCTAGCTCTGCCTTCTGGTATGCGAGATGTTCACGGGCAGCAGCTGGATCTTCGGAGCACGAATAGTTGGTTGCTCAAACTGGGCGAAGTCGAAACACCGGAAGCTGTCGAAGTCTTTTGCATCAATGCCATGGCGCCATTCATCATCAACAGCCGGCTGCGGGGCTTGCTGGAAAGATCTCCGCACCCGGACAGATACATCATCAACGTGTCCGCAATGGAGGGCAAGTTCTACCGGTACAAGCAGCCAACCCATCCACACACTAACATGGCCAAGGCAGCACTCAATATGTGCCTCGAGACTTCCAAATCAAATCTTTCAGGTTGAGTATTCATTCATACTACAGGTTTCCGGTTTCCGTGTCAACTTAACCCGAAGTCCGGTCTAACTGTCTAGCCTGATGAAGGATGACTCGGACTAGTGCCGAAGATCTGGCCTCCAACAGCGGGATCTTCATGAACAGCGTGGACACCGGATGGATCAACGATGAAAATCCATTGCCGACGGCACAGCGCATTGCTGAAAATCACCAGTTTCAGACACCCATAGATGAAGTCGATGCAGCAGCGCGGATTCTCGACCCGGTGCTGATGGGTCTGGACGCGGTGAAGTCTGGGCATGCACCATGCCGGCGGGCCAGAAAAGGAGGTGCCGAAGAGCTTGGCGACGGCCCAGTCTGGGGGTGCTTCCTCAAAGACTACAAGCTGTCAGACCCGCACTCAGTCACCCTAGACTCGCCCCCGTTGATCAAGTCGTGGCGTGTCATAGCCTTTGGGACAGGGCTGCATCCAAAACCATCCCAGCCGAGGAGTGGTGATGCCAGTGCCAATGCGCAGCGAAAAGAAGTGCGCCACATCGAGACTTGATGTCTGAGCCACTGTAGAGAATCTTCTGCTTGCAGATTGCAGACTTCCTAGACCCAGTCTAAGACCCATCCGAAGTTGTTTCACGGCGCGCCGAGAAGTTGTATCAGGTCAGTCGTGTCCAAATCCCCTGGGGCAGCTGCTTGGATGTGATACTACATGACACTACCATGGGTACTAATGGTTCATCACAATAGTTGCTGTTACCATCCTCGTGACCACGGCATGGTACAGCACTCACTGTTAAGGTTAGTTAATGTGCGAGAATAGGTGGCTTTTGTTGGCATTGTTGGCGACGTTGTTTTCCCATGTGCTTGTTGTGAGATGCCGGAGCTGTGACCCAACAGTGTCAACACCTGAATACCGCTGAGGTTCTAGAGCTGAACCTGGCAAAGGAAAGGGACTTGGCTCCTCGGCCAACTGCATAGGTTGAGTTGAGAGAATGCCAGCGACCGCAAGGATTTAACAAAGCCAGGGCAACAGAGTGTGACCGCATGAGGAAGCGAGTAGAAGCGCGGACAGAGCAAGCAAGGGTTTATCTCTCGACTTTGTGGCCGAAGCACACAGGTAGCTGATAGGGACACAGCGCGGGCGTTACCACGAAAGCACAGGGGTAGGCAGCAACGAGTGCGAAAGCCCACGTCGGGATGGTTTAGTACTGTGATTAGGCTTCAGAGACCAAGATGAGCAGCAACCGACTTTGTTCATGCTGCATTGCCTTGCTCGCCCAGGCAAGAGCCCTGGCAGCACCGTTGACAGCGGTGCGGACACAGGCTCTCGATCTGTAGTAGCTCAATCAAAACAGTGGCAGTTTCATCAAATACAGATTAGAGTGGTTCAAGAAATTAGTGCTGCCGTGAGAGCTCTTGGCATAGTGGCGAAGCCTACTCCACGTCTGCAGGTGAATTCCTGATTGGAACGATCAAGATCGCAGATCCCGTCCCCAGCCAAGGGGCGACAAAGAATGACAAACTACGGCCACATCGAAGTTCGATCTTTTTGTATCGCGAGCTCGCGAAGCAACGGCCGTGCAGAGTTGCTACTGAAGCTATGTCGATCCATGTTGAGGATCGCAAGAAGGAAACTCTTTCTTGCGAAATCCCAGGCGCGTGGATTTAGCATGATCTCCTGCCCAGACTCCGGGTTGGTGCCTCAGCCGTTGTTTAGCCGCTAGCCGCTACTAGCTGTCCCTGAGAGAATGCTTGAGGAAGTGCTTGCCAGCCTGTTTCACGGAGGTTCGAAGCAGACGTCTACATCCACAGTGCAATTGCAAGACCAGAGGCAGATCAGTCAGGTTGTCTGCCCAATGTGTAGATGCCCTGCAAATGAAGAGATCGCCTTTGCAGAACTTTGCCGTCCGTGATGTCGTTGCCTTCACCTTTCACATGAATGAGAAGGGGCAGCCTCGAGTGCCTTCTGCAGCAAGAGCACGGTGTTGATTGCTAACGATGCTAAGGTGCTGCTGGCAGAGCCTTGCTCTTTGTTTGGAGACTAGTAACCAAGGCAGATGTGGTTTTTCGATTGTCTGGCTGGAGCCCAAACTCCATGAAGGAGAGCCCTCAAGTCGTTCGGGGCAGCTGCTGCCTCAGGTTTCGTGCCTGCCGGAAAGACTGCGACCTTCCCACCGAACGTGGGCGCTGGCCTTACAGCACGGCCCAAATGTTCCGACCAGGACACTTCCTTGATCGTGAGGTACTGTAACGAGAGTGCTCGGCAATGGCAGCGGCTTTATCGATTGCTGGCTGCCGAGCACGTCGTGCCTCGATGTCGAAGTGCCACACCTTTCCTGGTAAGGCCCTGAAGTCAGCGGCGTCTATGGTGCGACCCCAACTCATGAGGTAAAGAGATTCCGATGCACTAGTGCCATTTCCGTTGCTTGCTTTCCTGCGTTTCTGAGGCAAAGATGCCTCAGCCTCAACTCCGCCTGGCAAGCACAGATGCCTTCCGCACTGACCCTGGGTTCTTTTGCTTGCCCTGGTCATTGAGGTCTTTGTGCACGGCAGTGTGGTGGAGCAGTGCGGCATCCAAACCGGGGAGACTCCAACTCCTTGCTGGCATGCAGTTCGTTTTTGATGGCAGCGAGAGGACATAAATCAACGCCCATGTGTCTGATCTGCAGGATGTACTCGCCTTTGACGTTCATGTCAGCAAAGATGGCAATCCTCAGGCTACCGTGCCAGCAGCTTCCTACAGACTGAGTGGGGCAAACGTTCTGTGGCTTGCAGGTGTCTGCACCATGTCTGGTACCAAGCGCGCTTTCGCAACAGTCGCCTGTGCACCGGCCTCCGCGGAGGTTGGATCCAAGCCGCTGCCGGCAACACGCAGGACTTCCTTCGCACAAGCTTCGGCTGCATGCCAATGCGCTACTGCACCCAGCCGATAGTTCATGCACGGGAAGGCGGAGTCTTCCGGAAAATGCAAACAGCAGAACGGCAGCATGGCTTCATATCAGTGTCCGGCACACCAGCAGAAGGAACAGGAACGCCGAAACAACAGACGTCAAGTGCTTAGTGTGCAGACCTAGCTGACATAGCAGCGCAGGTCAATGCAGCTAGTTTGTGCATCGATATAACGTCATGGGACCGAGTCATGCAATGCAGCAGGCAAGTAAAAACCATCATAGGCACCAAGCCAGCTGCTGAGCCAGCTCTCGCCAGTGCAACATGTGTTGGGCATGGGCGCAGCAGAGCTCTGTGAAAAGCTGCACCCGTGCTAAGATCGAAACCATTTCGCTGCTTTGAACATACTCTGTCCTAGGAGCGACGGCAGTCACCTCCAGTTGTTCAGCTGCCAGCAAAGGGGTCGTGGCCACAGTCGGTGGCTCCGTGTCGGCCTTCTGGACCAACACTGAAACTGTGCAGGTCTTACTTCTCCCCCTCCGGCAAAGGTCAACAACATTTCAGTAAGGGGAAAGGCCTCCGAGCCGGAAAGCGCGGCCTTTCTCCGAACGCTGATGCCCAGCCTTTTCGAGGCTTCGACGCGGGCGCCGCGGGCCCTAAAGTGACCTTGTCTAAGGGAGGGACCATGCCAGGAGCCTAACTCGAGCCCTCAGCTCGCAGCTCGTCTTAGGCGGAGGCACAGGGGTTTCTGTTTTCGTTGAGGCGGGCGGAAGCACCGACCTCCGGGCCTCCGAAAGGCGAGAGAGAGGGTGTCGCAGTCGACTCCTGCGCGGCTCATCTAGCGGACTCGACTGCCCTGAAAGGCGCCTCCAGCCCAGTGACCCCATTCCAGCCCGGTGGCTCCTTGACTTCCTTAGCCGTGCTCAAGTCTTTCTTGCACATGGGGCGCATTATGATCCAAGGCGGTGGGTGCAAGGGCAAGCTTGGCAAGCAAGCCGGCAAGCCCGCACCTAGTCCTGCTGGCAAAGGCATGAAGGGTAAGATTCAGTTGCCCCAAGCTTGGCCGTGCCCTCAGATGTGTAGCTCCGTGCCGCGCCACCAACTCCCAAGACATCGAGCAGTTCTTCTTGGATTTTTATGCTGTGCGGCATTCGGGTACTTGTACTGGAACGAATTTCGAACATCGTCGAGATTCCTATGTTGCCTAGGTCGTGTATATGTGTGTGTGTGTGCTGTAAGCTGCAAGGAATGGGCAGCAAGCCCTGGGGGGCGCTCCCAGACCAGGCCCAGGTAGCTCGGGCCTTGGCGCTCGGCGTTGCTCCAGCATCTTGCAAAAGACCTCGCATCGCACGGAGGAGATACATGGAGTATGAAGGCCTGATGACAGCTTGGAAGTTCACAGAACGGTGGCTTGCTGTACATGGCCAGGCTTCTGCCAATCATATTGATAGCCTTGACATAGACTGGATGCCAGCAACTCAGCATCGTGCGTTGCTCAGATGAACAAGACAGATCGAGATGTTGACAACGTCAGGGCCCCCGACTTCCACGCTGGACGAGTTTCGCTGATAGACTTAGAGAAATTCGCCACCATCTTGGGCGTCCTGCTTCAGTTACCTTCAAGTGTGCAGCCACATTTGCCGGGTTTACGTGTACCTGGGTGGTTGGAAACGGTGTGCTGAGGTCAGCTTGGTAAGATGTCCAGCATCAGGCTTTTCACGAGATGCCCGCGCCTCAGATGCTGGTGAGCCGAGCTGCATGAAAGAACTGGCGGCTTCCAAACTTCATGGCTTCACTGTCATTGAGGTCTACGTGCATCAGTCCGTTGCAGACCCAAGCCGTTGCCTTGGCAACCTTGGCCTTCCTCTGTCGGAAGTGGCACTAAGAGGCGCGGCACAGCGCGAAGAGGAAGAGCTTGCTCAGGCGCACTGAGCCTGAATGACGTGGTCTGCTTCAAGGTTCACATGAACAGCAAGGGCTTGCAGGGAGCCAAGTTGTGGAGACTTAGGTTGCGTTTGGCAGAAGGCTGCTGCTCTTGCAATGCAAGGCCTCAGGCATCGGCCCCCTTCTGGAAGCGAGTCGGCAGACTCCTGAGCATGCGGGGCCGTTGACGAAGCCCCAAGTTGGCCAAGTTCGCGCGAGGCATTGAAAGCAGTGAGAGTTTCACTCGCTTCGGTGAGTTCCAGGGCCTCGTCGTGAGGCGCGGTGCTGTTAGCAGCTTGCGTTGCTTTGCCAAAAGATGTTTGCCGCCACAGGTCTGAGGACGGGCCCATATCCATAGACTGCCCTGATGTGACCCAGCTGCATGGACGAGATGCGGTGATGCAAGAGGCACGGCAACCCTTGCTGCAAGCTTTCCGGTTGATGACCCTTTGTCCACCCTTGGTGGAAGGAATCTGCCGATCTGTGCCAGCTGGTTGAAGGAAACTTGATCTGCTTCGATGTGCCGGCACCTCAGCAGTCAACCAACCTTGTCGGAGATGTGGAGTGCGAGAAGCATCACAACCATGGACTGCCAATGTCTCCAGTCCTTTCACAGTTCAGTTCATAACTACTCGTCCGGATATCGGACGAACTCTTATCGGGCTTCAAGCCTCATAGAGCAAGTGCTCCGAAGTCGATGCCAACAGCAGAATAAGTCCGGAAGACTTTGCGTCCTGTGTCAGTGGCCAGCACGCAGCTTGTGTGCTGCCCGAATGCAGTGTCAGGATGCAACAGAAGAGAGCTAAAGCACAAGACAGGGCATATCATATCGTGCCTGAGCTGAGAGTGCAGAAATCTCTGAGGTCAGTGAACCAGGGCGGCGACCCCGAGGCCGACTGCCAGGCCGGCGCCAAAAACACGCAGCACGCCGCCGTCAGACAGGTCATCCCACCCTGTTGGATCTGCTGCTCATCAGAGAAGTGGGTCGCAGCCCGTGGTGGAAGCGAACGCTTTTCAAAGTGCAGAGACGTCAGTGGGAAATGCGAGACAATAATAACTTGGTGAGTACGCGCCGGGCTCGAAGACTTGCTGATGCAGACTGTTGTATCTGCAGGGTGACAGACTGCTCGTAGGCTTAGGGGCGCTTCTGGTGTTTCCGTCTTTGAGATCATGCGTTGTGGTCTGCGTGTCTCGAAGGTCAAGGACATCGTCGGCAAAGGCGAAGAGGCCCCGGTCGTGAGCGAAGTGAGGGTGTTTGCATCGTGCCCCTGTTGCTAAGGGCTAGGCGCCAGCAGGGCGCTCAAGCAAGCTGTTTCGCAAGGCTTCAGCGCAGTCACACTTATTCTTGCTGTCAAACATGTCTGCCCGGAATGAGCCATTGGGCACAGAGAATTCGACTTGTTTTCCCATTTGCGGCGCTGGAAGCTTGCCGACACGATGCTCGGATTCATCTTGTAGCTTGGCTTGGATGGACGTTCCTGAGTCAATAGCAGTCACGTTTCGGAATGAGGCTGTGTGACATGTGCGTACGAGTCGGCAGTGGCCCATAAAATTCAAGAAGGTACAACAATCAAGGCACACTTCAAGATCTTCAAGTGATTGCGCAGAGCCGCCGCGAAGCAACAACTGACGAGGTCGCCCATCGAGTTCATTCTGATGACGGTATATGCGCCGCTACTCAGCCTCAAGGCGCTGGAGTCGAAGACCCTCAATGACGACACCAACCTGCTGCTTGGATAGAAATCGCTGCTGCCCTCTCATGCTCAGGTAGCAGTAGTAGTGAGCTACTGGCAGCAGTCTGTAGCATCTCGTGGTCGTCGTTGTCGCTGTGGTTGTGGTGTCGTTTGTTGTTGTGGCTGTGGCTGTTGTTGTTGTTGCCGTGCACCAGGTCTTTGAATGAGTTGCATGTGTTCGGTTGCTCGTGTGTTGTAGCATTGTAGCCGAACCCGAAGCTGGAAAGACCAGGTTGGCATTTTGGATGTCGCGGCTCGACTGCAAACTGCCTTTTCTTCCTTGCGTCGTCTAGCTGGCTGCCAAAGCATTCACGAACCTTAAATCCGAGGATGTCGATCCTTTCGGCATTGGAAAGCATCACATGCGGTGCCCTTTGGATCATTCCATTGTACACTGAGCTGCGCTTTGGACTTGTCGTTCACGCCTAAGTCGCATCTTGACCTTCCTGGCGGCTCCGAGAATGCTGAGAAGCCTGAGGTGTACATGCTGTTCTTCCAGGGCGGCAAGAAGGTCAGACCTGGGAAAATGGATCCATGCAGCCAGATTAGTACCTGGGTGGTCGAGCCTGCGCTGGCAAATCTTTGTAGGTGTACGCCCTTGCCATTGAACCGACCTATCAGAAGGCCACACAGCAACCTTTCACTGGGCCATGCCGCCATGTCATCGTCACTCAAGGCCAAGAAGAAGCTCCCAGACGAGCTTCTCCAGGAGCTGGACGAGGTCCGCTTCTGCTGTGACGAGTGCCTTTTTAACGCGTCAGTTGTGCCAAATTCCGCAAAAATATAAACCCTGTGATCTTGTTCCAAGGATCCCCAGAAGTTTCTGCTCTCCATGGGCCAAAAAGGCATTGCATGCTTTGCAAATCGAAAGACTGTCACGCCGCGACTTCTGAGTTTTGGCGTAGGCAAAGAAATGGCGATGCAGTTGGTCGAACAGCTGAAGGCAAAGAGTGCCGAAGCTGCTTCGGCCCCTGCCAAAGAAAAGAAGAAGGCAGCAAAGGCACCATGTCAGGGATTCTCGTAGCACCAGCTGCTTGTGGAGCACTTTGCCGCTATGCTCTGCCACCAACTTCTCTTTGCAGACTAGCGACTAGCGCACATCAGATTGCGCAACAAGCCAAACATATTCATCGATGTGCGCTGCCACTGTTGTCGTTGCTACTCGTGTCAGGCCAAGTGAGAGAAATGCAAAGGCTCACGACGCCTTTTTTTGGGCTGCGAGCACCCGGGGCATTGCGCCAGCATTGAGCGCGCCCCTGCTTCACAAAGACCCGAGTTAACACTGGCACACGAGCTGAAGGTGTCTCAAGTTTTTGTAGCTTCGGCGAAGTGCAGAGAATGCTTGAACAACACGACCGTCGTTTGACAAGCTTCCCTTTGCCGTTAGCTTGTGTGCAACAGCATTCCTGTGCTAACCTGGCAGCTGTTACAGACTCTGCTAGGCGAGCGACTAGAAAGGAAAAGGACAGATAACTTTCAGGCAAGCATGCTGACGGCTGCGCATAGCAGCTGATCAGAATTGTTGTAGCTTTTGCGGACCATCCTTTACAACGGAAAAGTGCGGCCCCATGCTTTGGTCAATCTGAGTTTTCTGATGCTACCGCAGCCCCGGCGTGGCGATACACACTTTGCATGACCTGTGCTGTGCTTTCGTTTCTCCGAGGTTGCTTGAATCAGCGGCAGCCTGCCGTCGGGATCATGCATTTTCGCGCAGTTCCCGGAGAGAGCGAGCGAGTGAGCGAGAGGGACAAAGCATGTACCCAGAAGTAGCCATCCGCTTTCTTGCAAGAGCAGATATCATCAAGATACGAAGAGAAATAGTCGGCGGGACGCCCTCGTTGTTGCCAAAGGAAGCGGATGATCTCGGCCTCTTCGATTCGGATGAGCCAGAGGGTGTAATTAGTTAGTCAGTTGTGGGCGGTTCTGCAACGTAGCAAAGGATAACCGGATAACCCATCCAAGTAAGTGGTTCTAAGTGTACGTGCCAGTCAAATGCGCGCACGTAGAGCTAGTACCTCGAGGCCACCACGCGCAGCGAGGCAAAATTGATCGTAGAGCTCGCGGCTCTGTTCAAAGACTCTTGCTTCTTACTACTATGTCATGCTACCCTGTCTAAGCGCATGCGCGCAAGTCTTTTATTGCACCCTGTCGGACTTAAGTTTTGGCCGTCTCTTTATCGAGCATGCAGGCCGCCATTCAGCAGTCAGCATAGTGCCTCAGCCTTCAGCTCACACAGCTCCAGCGGCGGAAGAAGTCAGCTGCTGGAGTTTTCTGGCTGAGCCCTTGTCTATAGTGTTTGCGCTGTCATCAGAAGTCAATTCGGATCTGTCCGAGCGAGCCTGGCCTTGCTTCTCGTGATAATGAGTAGTGTAGAAGTATTCCAACTCCACTCCAACCACAGTGCCCACAGGGCAGGCAGGCCTACTCCCCGTGTCCTGTTTTCTGAACCAGACAGTACGTAAGCAGTACAACTCATTGCTGCGAATCTCGTTGCTGAGCTGCCTCCCCAATGCAGCACGTCTCGGCTCCGATCCCATTGCGGCATTGGTATTGGCTGGGTCGGCAAACTCAGAGACGACCAGACCAAACCATTCCATCAGAGAGAAGCATGGATGCTGCAAACTGTCAGCCTCGCATTGCCACCTTGGTCAGTTGTTATTGCAGTATTCAGCAGCCACTACTGCAGCATAATTTGTATTGACAACATTTGCTTGTTCATGGCTTTGGCGAGCCATGCACATCGAAATTCCCACTGTTGGTCCCCGATTTGCCAGAGAGGCCAAAGTCCAGAATGTTGCAAATGCAAGCTTGTATTGCGGGTACTTCATTCACCAGATGTCCGCATGCCCTCGGAGGCTTCGCCTGCCTTGAGCGCGCACAGTGAAGCTCGATCCCACTTGAGCTCGGCAGTGGAGGCTTTTTGTATCTGGTTGTCATGGTCGCAATTTGTTTGTGGGCTTTGTATCTTGTCGCCCATGACATGATTTGTGGAATTTGTTTGCATCAGACATCTTGGTGGAAATGCTGGTGCTCGAATCAGTGAGATTTGCCGAAGTGTAGGGCTTGGCCCCCTCACGCTGTTCATGGCTGCAACGGCGTGGATTACCAAGCGAACCTTACTGCAGAGCGACAGCCCCGCTATACTCGGCCTCTCATCATCGACTTGCAGCTTTCCGGGTTGCACGGCCGTGTCTAATAATAATAATAATTATTATTATTATTATTAGTATTAGTAGTATTATTATTATTAGCACACTGCCAGCTTGCCAGCTTCATTAACCCAGCCAATAGCGCAGGTGCTTCTCGATGCCGCCGTCGGACGTGACGATGACAGATCAGGCCAACGGCATCAACGGTCAAAGTAATGGGTGGTAGCAGAACATCGCCATCACATCCAAAACTTGTTTCACAGATCCTGACCAGGTGCCATGGGATTGCTGAGTGGTGAGCCAAGTGCAAGAACGTGGGGCCCCGATAACGACAGTGCCGCGCTGCATGACAAGTAGTTGAGGCCCCACGCCATTGTAGGGGGCCTTTGAAAATGCTACAGCTCTTGCCCAGCGGTTCCAGAGCTCAGGACTCGTTCTCGTTTTCGAGATGTGTTGGGCATTGGCGTGGCTACTTGTATTGCACTTGTTTGTGCATCGAAGCAAGTGGTGCTGTGCAGTTGAGACAGTACGCGGCTTCGAGGTTCTCATCACTTTCTTCGTCGGGGTGCGCCCGCCACGTGCAGATGCCAACTGGAACTTATCCGCTGTCCGGCATCAGATCGATCGGCTGAGCAGCTGGCAAACATGGGGCAGGTCTGGTTCCTTTTCTGGATGCGTCGCGTACTTGCCTCTACCTCAGGATGTTTGGAAGGCTGCAAGTACATGCAGGTAGAGCCCACCCGCACACCCACATTCCCCCCACCTCCCCAACCTTCACCACCGCCCACCCGCACCTCACCCCCACACACCCGCACCCACGCCCACATGCTCACCTTCGCTTTCGCTCTCAGTCTCTCCTTCTCTCTCTCTCTTTCCCCCTCTCCCTCTCGCGCTCTCTCCCTTACTCTCAGCCTCACCCTCACACCACCAGCAACACCACCAGCACAAGACGAGACGTGATGCATGCATGCCAACATAACCAAGGTTCCGCTCACTTTCGCTTTGTTCCTTGCCTTCCTGTGCGAGCCTCTCCTGGCTTTCATGGTCACCGCCCCAAGGCCAAGAGCAAGAGGAGGCATTTGCTTGACGTAGTTTAGGGTAAAGGAATGTGCGCAGGTATGCGGCCAGAAAAATGCAGCGATGCAAGGAGCATCGTTCCGGTGACAGGCATGCGGCATGCAGCTGTCGTGCAAAATTGTGCGGCATTGGAGACCGAGCCTAACAGGAAGCAGCACGACCGCAAAGGGGTGCCAGTGGGACGAGCAGAGGAGCCCTGATGGCGCGACGGTACCGACTGCTTGTGCAATGATAGGGACAGGAAGATGTCAACTCTTCGGATCTCGATAGCACCGGAAGCGCCAGCCACACAGCTGGGTGGTAGCTGCCTGGGCAGACAGGAGCAAACCTGGATGTTCGATCCAATGATTGATGGTTCGAGCAGTTCTGGTGTTGGTGTTGTTTTGAGGCTGCCAGCATGACGGTCAGCGACTGCGACGGGCAAGCGGCCAAGACCTGCTGTGCCTCGCCTGAAAAACAGCACAAGACACGTGAGACAGGACGTAAATTCCTTCCCAATTTCCCACTGTACTTGGCTATGCAGTCTGTGACTCCAGGCACTTCGTGCAGCAAATGGTTGCAGCAGCTGCTCGTCATCGGAGCTTGCTGAACATCCGGAGCTGATCAAGCGGTTGCCTAGACAAACCTAGGATATGGAGCTTTTTCGCAGTCCTGATCCTGGTCGTGACGCTCCTGGCGATGCGCTGAGCAACAGCAACCTTTTCGAGAGCAATTCCCTCCGATCTTCGTCAGTCCAGAGAAAACAAACACAGAAGCCTTTCCTGCAGCACCTGGAGGCCGTGACTTTCTTGATCTTCTATGGTGTTGTGCGGGGCCTAAGAGCAATGCGGTACCTCTGTGCTCCAGTGGCTTCAAGCAACACTGCTCACCGGCTAGCCTGCTTGCAAGTGCTGCGCATGGACCGTTGCGATGTGAAGTCGAGGTCAGAGTGTTTGCTGATTTCGACTGGAGCCGGTTGCCTGGGACCACTTGCATCCGAAGCGGATGTTGACAGAGCTAATAGAGGACATCACCAGGCATCTCAGATGCTGAGGCCAATTCAGGGATTCGGCCAAGATGCGTGATATGCAGTCGTTGGCTCAGACTCAGTGGCTCGAGAGATATTTGGTCTTGGCACGAGAGCCCATCGATGCAGCATTCCGCCACCGGGAGAGGTCGCTCCTTGAAAAGGCAGGTATTGCTGTGGCCTTAGCGCAGTTGAGAAGGAATCGGGGTTCGAGGCTCCAGCGAAAAGACAGCAAAGGTCGACCGCAAAATGAACGTAAACTTTCAGAAGGTGGCGGCCGAGTTTAGAAGTCTCTTGGTTGCAATGGCCATGATGGGTCGGGGGCCTGATGTGCTGGTAGGGGGTATGCTCGCATCGGCCTGACTAGTTTGCAGCCAAGGTTATCTGTTAGACACAGCCTCAACATTCTTCCACTTTGTCGAAGGCTACCTGAATCATTTCTTGAGAGCTTCTGACGTGCACTTGCTTCTGGAGGATTCATGCTGTGCGTCTTGATGTTCATCTTTTGCCTGATCGGCATGCTCCCAGAAATCAATTCAGTGCGCAGCTTGCCCACAGTTGGTGTTGACTGTCTTAAGCCCTTACCGTCTCGTGTTGACTGAGTTGACCTTCATCCGAAGACGTCAGTGCTGAACATCTGTGTGTTCATGCAGGTTTTTGTGTAGGCCAGTTGGGAGGGTTTCCCAACAGCATACCCTGCCAGTCTCACCTACTACGTATCGCTATTTGTGAGACTGTCTTTGTGACTCCTGGGCTCGGCCACGAGGCAGAAAACTCCAATGTAACAAGCTCGCGGGTGCCCGTCGAGCATTCGTCTCTCAAGTTACCAGTCAGCTGATGCCGTTTTGGATTGTAATCCACCGCAGGCTGTTTATATGGGGGTCATTAATGGGCTACAATTTGGTCCAACCCTTTGGTCACCAATTGGTCCCCACATGGTCCCCAGTTGGTTCTTAGTGGGGCGTCCAGTGTGCTTGGTGTGGCTGCGCTGTGGCAAACTTATGAAGATCGAGATGCAGATTTCAGGCTCCGGTAGCCCCCAAGCCATTTCGTAAGCCGGTCAGAAAGTGCTTGCTGCCTAGACCATACTTTCTTCAACTCGACACCTCTCCTTTAAGACTGTTCCCCTAGAAACAACACAGAGAAGATTAGCTCCAAACATGGACAGTGACATGGAGATGGATGCGGCTTTGAATTTCTTAGTCTCTGCGCCTCTCTTTTTGGAGCAGCTGGGCTTGGGCAAGCTCTCTCGAGGACGCGAGTGCCCCTGCTTCGTTTCGGTTTTTCGGCGATTTGTTGGGGGGGTTTAGGGTTGTCGGTTTTCCCGTCTGGTTACAGACGGGTAGTGTTAGGCTTAGGGTTCCCCGTCTGGTTACAGACGGGGAAATTAGGGGTTTTCCGTCTGGTTACAGACGGGTAGTGTTAGGCTTAGGGTTCCCCGT